CTCAGGTCCTAGGCTTATGAATATATATAACTATATATAGTCTGCTATGCATTGAATGTATGTACGTATGTTGTGCACCTTTATATTTACTAGAATCAACACCCACGGCTACGCCGAGGGGACTTAATTTGCAACCATATCATCTTCTCAGCAATAGATATGTCAATCAATGGTGTGTCGGTGACTTGAAATTGCAGGAGCAAACATCACACTGAAAACATTACCAAGAAAATACTCAATAGTCTGCCTCAACTACTAAAAAGAAGAGCTTGCACATTAGTTTTTGAAAGGAGAACTTAAGATCTGCAGCATCTGAAAAGAAAAAGATAAATAAAGTATATCTGATTGACAACAAAGGGAAAACATTCTAAATTGTCCATGAAATGTATAGATGTTTGTGTTTATTAACTAAAATGACATTAGTTTTTCAACAATACAATGAAGTAACAGTAATTTGACGCTCAACTATCCATTTAGCAGTAACAACATCAACAATAAAACCGAAACGCTTTACTTCAACAACATCGTCACCAAGTGCAGCTTTAGAAGACACAACCGATAGAGCTTCCATTGAATCCACCTTCCACTTGAAAGCTACTTGGGCCAGAACTCGAACATGTGCACTTGGATGGTCAAATAACAAACAACATCAGGCCCAACTTCAGATGTAATAGCAACATATGTAGCCGAGGAAAATTATTGAAGGGAAAATAAGAATGAGAAACAGCATGGTGGTGTTAGGTTCGCTAGGGCAAGCAAATAAAACATACAAAATGATGGACGATAAGAACCTGGTCTGTGAGAATAGCTAAAGTGGATACTTGACAGGATAAAGAGATGCACAACAACATTACCATCCAAGTGCCAACCCATATATAATCTGACTTCAGAATCCTTTGAACAAACAATTCTCAAAAGGAAACAAAGGGATATAAATGAGAAAGTACATACGAAACTTAGAGTAAACCAAATTAACGCGCAATCAAAGTTCAACCGTGTGAGGTCAAAACTCAAGACTAACTCTACAGAATGTTTGGATCTCATGCACTCGGATACCATAAGCTGTAAGGAAACAGCCTGGGAAGTCCAATATCCCCTACGCTATCATCTTTAAAAGTTAAAACAGCAAGAAAGCCCAGCACTGGGCAATGCATGTATTCTCTTAAGACATTTAAATTAAGAATCCATAACAGAATCACAATACCATCATCCAAACAAATCCTCAACAGAAGGACAAAAAACTAATAGATACTGGTGTAGTCAAATTTCATTCATTCACACTCTTAAAAGTTATGGCTGACTACTCTGCTTCCAGTTCAGCTGGCACAGTTCTGATTGGCCGACATCCATGCCCATGTCAAGAGTAAGGGTTTCCACATCAAAGATGGGATTCAAAAGAGGTAAACATGAGCAGGAACTGACCTTGGTATGGAAACTGGATTCGTATGAACTGAAGTTTGAGGCCGAGCTGGTTTTGTTGATAAAGCCAAAGGAGATGCAACATTCTTGCTCTTTCTGCATAGGCAATGGGAGGATGTTATATAAAGGAATAACCAAGCCTATAAATGAAAGCATAAGCACTTTTTTAGAAGTGGTACTAGTAGAGTTCTTGATTTGTACTCTCATGGCATTTAAACAAATACATTGCTCCTATTCTAATAACCTGATTCGAGGTTAATTTTCTCTAGCTTGAAGAAAATGAGATTGCTCCTATGCCTTAGGGCCTTACTCCTTATGGTTCCCTCCTTCTTTTCATGCCTTTACCTGTAAAGTAGCATATCTAGAATTAGTTTAAGTTTATAAGAAAACACGATTTTGGAAGTGGTATTAGTAGGGTTCTTGATATGTACTGTACTGGCATCTAAACAAATACATTGCTCTCTCCTGATTTGAGGATTTCTCTTTCTTGAAGAAAATGAGATTGAGTAAGGGTTTCCGCCTTATGCTTCCCTTCTTATTTTCATGCCTTCACCTGTAAAGTACCATATGCAAAATCAGTTTAAGTTTCCAAGATCAAACCATCTGGTTGTATATAAAGAATATCAACAATAATATTGGAGTAACTAATACTCAGCAATTTGATAATCCTGTCTTCTAGAAGGTACAAAAGCAGCTCAAATGATCAGTGTACAAAGCAAATAAGAAATTTCAGAAGCTCAATTGTATCAATTTTTGCAGGTTCTCTTCACGACAACTATGCCTAAACCAAACAGGGCTCAAGTGTGTTGGATTGGAGCTCCAATAACTGGTTCGCTGCTGTATTTGTCTATGCCAAGAGCTTACCGAGCGAGTGATTCGGTAGTGGAGGAGGCCATAGCCGATGATGATTTACAGGTTCTATATCAAGTGCAAACACAGACAATGAGGACCTTATAATAAATTAGTGGAAAACCTAAGAATGGCAGTGAAACATAAAGGGATCAATCATTGCGGTAAGGAATGGGGAACTTATAATCAATTAGTGGAAATCTCAATTAACAGTAATGGGGTTGAAATAAACAAAAAAAGAAATAGATTACTTCTAGGCTCTAACAAAGTGAAATGAATAATGAACCAAACATCATCACCAAACAACATTAAGAAATAGAGAGACAACTGAAGAAGGATGTATCACATGCTAAGTAAACCATGAAATACCAAGTGCTAAACAACTCAAGACTTTCCGCACCTTGGATAGTTTTCCATTGTTACAAACTACAAACATATATCAGAGCGAGATTATCTGAAAATAACACCACGACAGGCACTGTAAGAATTGACTTGACACTGCATTTTCCTGCTCTAGAGTTGCCATTCCCTAAATTTAAGTGCCTCCTAGCCTTTGTGAAGCCCCAAACGCAGCAGCACCTGAAGATTGAAGGATAATCAAAGAAAACTAACCAATGGCCTAGCCGGAAGCAGAGTCTGCAGTTGGGGCAGTACTTCCATGTTTGCAGGGTGGTGCTGGATTCGAAGGGCTAAGAGAACAAAACGGAACCCAGTTGACCTAGCTGAAGTTGGTCCTCCCCGGAGCCAATGGTGGATTCTCACTCTCGCTGTTGCTAGGATTTATGCCCCGGCGATTGGAGTTGGAAGAGAGGAGGGATAAATAAAGTTTTTGATATGAATGAGAGGAAGGCTGGATGATTGGAATGGATGGTGGTGGGAGAAAATGCACATGGTGTAAAGAGGTGGACAGATGATTTTGGATGAATGGAAATCGGGAGGGATGTGACTGTTAAGGGTAGAGTGTGGGAGATGGATTTGTAGGGGAGGAACTCAGCGGAAAGAGGCAAGACGAAGGGGTTTTTTCTTATGACAGAGGGAATTTTGCGTGTGGAAGCAGCCCGGAATCGTGCGGAGGTGGATTTCTGGGAAGGGATAGTCAGAGGGTACGGAAGCATGAGAGTATGAAAGGGGAAGGCTGGGCGTCTCGAACGGGGTGGATACAACCAGCGAAGTTGGGAAGTTCTTTCCGCTTCATCAGAAGACGACAAATATTGAAATAGTAATCGAGAAGTTTGGGCAATAAAGCGTACCCACTTTCATATATAAAAGAATAAGAGGGCAAGGGTTGAATTTTTTACTTTGGTTCATGTTAAATTTGAGTGATTCAGCAATTGGATAGCTAATTTTCCATATACGCAATATTATAAAAAAATTGACGGTATTAATGGAGTGTAATGGAAGTTAATGGTTAGTGACACAAAATGAAATGAGGCTTAACTAAATAAAAAAATATAGTGATACACGTGATATAATATCGTAAACGTGTGATTCATGATAAACAAAATGATCGGTGATAAAGGGGCCGTTTGGTTTCTGTTTGAGTTGCGGTACTCTGAACCCGTCAGCTTAACCTCGATCTTCATCAAGCTCCCAGCCGAGGCGCCTAAACCTTGCAAATTTGGGTGCACACAGGGCCTGAGTGGTCAGTTAGCACTCCGAAGCTCATGTCAGTCGAGTTTTTAGAGAGATAAATGCTGAGAGAGTTTTTAGTGAGAGAATTGAACCTGTTTAAATGCTACCTACCGAACACTATATATACTCGTCGGGGCTTCGACCAAAATCCTAGAATTCAGCCCTACGTCAGCAGGGCATTAAATGCCTGGTACGGCCAAACTGCTAGGCGCCTGCACGTGGCACTTCCTCGGTCCTCATGTCGCGGCGCCTAGAGGGGACCAGCCCACATAGGTGGAAGCCTCTTGGCCATCCTCTTCCGTACTAATTTGTCCTCGTGCCCTCTTTTGTCGTTATGCACCTAGTCCTGCTAATTGTGGCCTTGTTCTCTAGCTTGTCCCATATTACTTAGGCTTTCAATGGGCTTGGGCCAAACTGGATTTGTGACCTCTTAAAGGCTTATCTATATTGACCCAACAATTGTCCTCTAGTTAGATGCTCATGGTTTCATGATGAGCGCCTAACTATTGTAAAAAGAAGGAGAAGGTGTTTAGATGATCTGCCCCACTAAGCTACTTTTCATGCCTTGCCCCACCATGTCCCATAAGATTTTTCCTAGCACGATTTCTTAGTTTGGGCGCCTTGATCGTCAAAAAATTTTCTCTGATTTTTTTTTGGGTGAACGGTTGGGCTATCCATATATGGCTTTCTAGGTCGAGCGCCTGTTTTACCAAATTCCTAAATCTGGGCACCTGTTTCAATTTGCGTGGCTATCATTTGCCCCCATCGATGTGCATTGCAAAATTTGAATTTGGAAATTCAAATTTGAAATTACCAAATTCCTAAAATCTGGGCGCCTATTTCAATTCGCGTGGCTATCACCTGCCCCCTCGGTGTGCGTTGCAAAATTTGAATTTTGAAATTCATATTTGAAATTTGGGAAATCCAAATTTTGAACGGACGGCAAGGATGTAGCCCCCGCGTTATGCGCGCATCTCGAGGTAGCGCATCTTCCCTATAAATACCACCGCCCGACTATCTTCTCCCCTCATTCTATACGAAATCCCTTCTCTCTCTACCTCCTCCATCTGTGCGCCTCTTTTTCCTCGACTAGATTTGTCATGTCTCAAAGTGGTTCGGGTGCAGTAGTTGATGACATGGAGAGGGGTAAGGGCAGAGCGCCCGATGTCATTGCTGAGCTAGAGAAGCACTTCTCCCCTGACCCCCTTCGAGAGCAAGAAAAGACAAGCGCCCATGGGAAGAAGGAGACGTCTGCAAAGAAAAAAGCTCCCCTGGCGGCGGAAGAGGTACCTACCCAAAATGAACCGGTGACGGCAGGGACGGGGTTGATTACGAAGACTTAGGCGCCGCCTGTTCTCGAAGCGAGTAAGTCTTCGTATTACAACTCTAATTTGTTTCCAGTATGGGTGAATATTTTAATAGACGTCCGATTTGTAGCTTAGAGTATTAGTATTGACAGTACAACGAATGAATCACCCATTTTAGTGCGCCTGGATCCTCGCGTTCGTTTGAGTTGGTGACTTCTCCAACCTCCTCTAATTCAGGCGCCCTCGATGGTGGATCCTACAAGATCCGGACATGGGATGATACGTGGCCACCCGGCCATGCGGCCCAATAGACTAGTCATTTGTCTGTGGAAGAAGCTGGACCTGAGCATTTAGTGATCGTGAAAGTAGGTGAATTGGAACGCCTGATAACGTATTGTGGCTTGCCACGCACGTGGACCTATGCACCTGTTTCGCAGATTGCCAGGGTGGGAGTGGTTGGTCCCCGATGGCTTGGAATCTATCGAAAGTATTTCTGGTTTGGGTTGCGTTTCCCACTAGACTCAATACTAGAAGGAATTATGACGATGTGCAATTGCTCGATTGGGCGCCTATCTGCCTCCGTTTCCTCATTCATATACTATTCAAGTTGAAGTGTCGTCGGCACAATGTTGTGCCATCATTCAGGTTGTTTAGATACTTCTTTACCGTGGGATCCAGCGACAACTGTCTGTCGTTGGAAAGACGCATAGACATTCCCGACCACTTCTTGTAGGAGTGTCCGAAGTTGGGACGGGAATGGTTCGGGAGTTTCCTTTATATTAAGGCGCACACATAGTCATTTTACGAAAGTGGCGCCAACTTTACTTGAAGTTGGGATGTTGGTGATACCAAGCAGTTCAACGTTGCCGTGACTTTGTCTTCGGACGAAGACGAGAGCGCCAGGCTGTTATCCATATATCCCGTTAACTTGCGTTCCACCGCGACAAGAACTCTAGTTTTACACGAGTATTACGGCGATGGTGGGTGGGCGCCCTATGCTACTATGCTTGTGCCCACTACCGTTATGCACATTCCTTCGTTTATATACTGCCACTGATCTTGCAACTGTTCAATGTTATTGCAGGCGTGGACTTCACTTCGATCGCCTCGCTGATGGAGAGTCAGTTTGAGAAGATGGCAGTGGGAGCCTCCTCGCTCAAGAAAAAGCTTCTCACAAACCGGCAATCCAAGCAGGACAACGACGTCTAAGGCTACAACCTCCCACACGGCCAAGGCTATGGTCAAGACTCGAGCGTCCTGGCCTGCAACTGATAAGACCAAAGGGCGCCTGAGCCCGAAGAGAATAAAACCAAAGAAGGTGCCCAGTGCCCCTGTGGAGGATGTTGGTGGCGGATCCCTGGTGGATCCAGTCAGTGCCAAAGCGCCTACCGTTGACCTGCTCTCTGATCCTGAGTTCATGGAAGATGAGATTCCGGTGAACTAAAGACTAAACAGGAGAGCCGAGTCTGTGGGGCGAGTTGGCTCGCATAGGCGCCTAGGTCTGCATTTTACTACCTTGAGTCTTCTTTTGTTCATTATGTAAATTCTTTACTTGACCATAACACGGGTTTTATTTTTGCTAGATGCTCCTCATTATGAGAAACGGCGTGTTGGCGCGTGAAGCTTTGCGGGCTGAAACTGCAGAGGCATCGACATCACTTGGCGTGATGCGAGACAACCTAGAGACGGCGCAACGACGCCAAGAGGAGCTGATCCAGGCGTGCGAGGATGCACATGTTGAGGCATCGAAAAGCGTCTCTCTCGTCCAGCAGTCAGTGGAAGAGGAGAAAAGGAAGCTGCGCGAGGAATATGACGCTCAACTCAAAGTCGGGAGGAGGGCGTATCATGAGTTGGTGGCCAAGCTTAAAAAGGAGAAGGCATCTTTGGAGAAAGAGGCAGGCGCCCAAAGGAGTGAAATCGACATTCTCATTGAAGAAAAGGGCGCCTTGAAGAGGGGAACAAGAAATGCAGGGCAGAAGTCAAGGCGCTAAAAGAGGAGAACGAGGCATTAGAGCAGAAGACAACGGATTTCGCCAACTCTTCCGAAGGCCGGGCACTCAAGGCTTAGGCGTCTCTCAACAATATCCTCATCTTGAAGAGGAAGTTGGAGGCAGACCATCCCGATATCACATGGGATGTCAAGGAAATGGTAGAGTTCGTGATTGCCTTCATGGAGAGTGTGCGCCCAGTTGTGGACCATGTCATGGCGCCTCCTGAAGGGGATGTTGAAGACTCCGACTCAAATCCCGACGATGGTTCAGCTGCCAATGAATAGACTCTGTAGGTTGCCTAAGACTTTGTAACTTGTGTTTCTATTTTACGTCAGATTACGTGTTTGAACGCTCGTCTTGCTACTTACCCCTTTTGAGTATTTCATCTTAACTTTGTTGGTGTGTTGTTTTCGTGGCACTTTTCTTCCTTGACATTCGAGTCAATAGGCGCTTACAACTTGGGCGCTATAAAGGTTGCAATGTGTTGGGCGCTTCACTTTCCATTTGCACTTACACTTGCAGAACTATATATACAATCCGATTCAGTCAACCTTGGGGCGTAAAAGAAGGGCGCTTTACATGTTACGGGCGCGAATGGCCTCTTTACACTTTGCAGGCGCATGAGGGAAGTCTCGTTTTAGCACAAGGCTTCCAACCATAATGTCATGGGGATGCATCTTCTTGTTGTAATACCTTGCCACCTGGCGCTTCATTGCATCCAGCTGTAAAGCTGCCTCCTCCCGGCGCTCGTCCAAAAGATCTAACTCGTCGACTCGCTCTTGTTCTTCCATTTCCATGGGTAGTACCGCCTCGCTTCCGCAAGTCAACGCAAAGGGCGTCTCACTGGTACATGGTACACCTTAAAAGTGGTTCTACGCGCCCATAGCATGCTTGGCAATTCCTCCACCCATTTTACATTAGCCGCTTCCAACCTCGTGTGCAATTCGTGCAAGTTGTTTTTGTTGGCTGCCTCGGCCTGTCCATTGGCCTATGGATAAGCTATAGATGATAACCATAGAATCATCCCGTTCTAATCGCAAAAATCAACAAACCTTTTGCAGTCAAATTGTTTTCCATGGTCAGTGATGATGGATTCGGGGAGTCCACATCTCGCAAAAATGTTTTTCTTTGTAAACTTTCGCACCTGCATCTCAGTGATGGACGCCAACAGTTCTTCCTCGATCCACTTGGTGAAATAATCTATTGACACGATCAAGTATTTGAGTTGCCCGGGCGCCTTAGGGAAGGGGCCAAGAAAGTTCATGCACCATTGGGCGAATGGCCAGGCGCCTACATTGCCCTGCATTAGTGCTGCCGGAATGTGTATATCATTGGCAAAAATTTGACATTGAAGGCACGTGATAACATGCCCCACAACGTCGGACCGCATCGTTGGCCAATAATATCCCTATCAAAGTAGGACTTTTTCCAAACTCCGAGCACCCACATGCATTCCACAGGTTCCCTGGTGTATCTCGGTGATTTCATTTTGCCCTTCAGCATACGTGAGGCACCTCAAGTAGGCGCCTGAATGAGACCTCTTGTACAATGTTCCGTCCAGTATGGTGCACCGGCCGCCTGGCGCCTTAACCGCTAAGCCTCCTTCGGGTCTTCCGATATTATGCCTTGAATAAGGAACAACATGATAGGCGCCGTCCACCCTTCAATTACTCACGTGGAAAGGGATGCCATCACCAACTCCTCTTGCGGAACTTCCTTAGTGACAATGACCGTTCTATCCTCCCCAAAATTCAATGTTGTGGCCAACTTGGACAAAAGCTTCAGCATGAGCGTTGTCCTCTCTCGGAACGTGAGTGAAGGTCGCCTCTCGAAACCAAGCACTCTTCTTCTGAACTGAGTGGAATAGGCCCCTAGCGCCTCCTCCTTTACCTTGTAAACCTCATTCAGTTGATTTACCACCTGGTCCGAATCAGACTTCGCATGAACCTTCTGGGCGCCTAATTCCTTCGCCATATGCAGTCCCTCGAGGACGACCTCATGTTCCGCAACGTTGTTCGTTTTGAGAGTCGCAAAATGTAATGCAACTTCACGCATGGCCCCCTGCGGGCTGATGAGCACGATTCCTGCACCCTCGCCTGCTCGGCTTGCTGATCCGTCCACTTGAACTTGCCAACACTCCTCGACATCCACCCCCACGTCTACAACCCATTCAGCCATGAAATCTGCCAATACCTGGACCTTCATTATCGACCACGGCGCATAGCTGACATCGTATTCACTAAGCTGGACAACCCATTTCACTAGGCTCCCGGACACATCCATGGATCCCAAGACAGTTCTGAGATAAAGGTTAGGGAGCACTACGATGCTATGAGCCTGAAAGTACAGTAGGAGCCTAAAAGTTCCGCCTATTCTATTGGAACATATCGTGTTTCATGACCCACCATGGTGCGATTGACGTAGTACACCAGCCTCTATTCGTTTGTTAGCAGGTCCTTAGACACGAGGACTGCGCTAATGGCAATGTGGGACACGGTGATGTATAAATATAACGTCTCTTTGGCTTTGGGTGCCGTCATCATCGTAGGCACCGTGAGTAGGGCTTTCAAATCCTCGAAGGCCTTGTTACAATCCTCTATCCATTTAAATAGGGTGGCCTTCTTCAAAACCTTGAAAAAAGGGGCGCCCTTGTCGGATGCACTGGGGATGAAGCGCCCAAAGCCTCTAGTCTCCCTGTCAGCCCTTATAAGTCCTTGGGCGCTCGCGGGGGTGCCAAGCACATGACGGCCTCGAGCTGCCTTGGGTTGGATTCTATCCCTCTCTTCGTTATCATGAATCCCAAGAACTTGCCCGCCTCTGCCAAAAATGCGCACTTTTTATGGTTAAGCCGCAACCTGAAGTGGCGCATAGTCTCAAAGGTTTCTCGCAAATCCATTAAGTGATCTTCATGCCTTATACTCTTCACAATCAAGTCATCCACGTATTTCTCCACATTTCTTCCCAATTGCTTGCGGAACACCTGGTTAACCATGCGTTGATAAGTGGCTCCCGCATTCTTCAATCCGAACGTCATTACTTTGTAACAGTAGTTCCAAAGGGTGTCATGAAAGCGATCTTCGCCCTGTCCTCCTCCACCATGGGAATCTGATGGTACCCCAAAAACATATCGAGGAAGCTAAGCGCCTCATGATAAGTCTTTGCATCCACGAGCAAATCAATTCGTGGCATAGGATATGCATCTGTGGGACAAGCCCGATTCAGGTTGGTGAAGTCCACACGCATTCTCCACTCTCTGGACGGTTTTGGGACAAACACGACATTTGAAAGAAATGTGATGTACCTAGATTCTTCCATGAATCCCACCTCGAGCATCCTATCGACCTCACTCCTGAACGTTTCCTCCAATTCAGGCATCAAGTTTCGTCGCTTTTGATGGACCGGCCTCTTACCTCCTCCACGACCAACCTATGTGCTTCCGTTTTCGGGGACACCCCTGGAATCTCTTATGCACTCCATTCAAACAATTCACAAAACTCTCGAAGCAACGCTATCAAGGGAGACCTTAATTCTTCGGGCGCTTGAGCCGAAATGCGAACTTGTCAGTCCGGGCGCTCCTCATCGATTGCTATGGCCAGTTCTTCGTCCATTGCCTCAACTCTAGGCCCCTCATCGGGCCAGACATCAACATTGTTCACTTTGTGCCTTCGGGTGGTGCCCTTTGCTTCATCTTCAAGTGCATACCGTGGAATGCTTTCTCCCCTCGAGATGCCAATCCCTTGGGGCGCGATGAACTTTAGTGTTTGGTGGCAAGTGGACGTCACTCCATTGAATAACGCCAATAGGGGCCTGTCCACTATTCCAAATTCTACCGCGTGCGTAACACGGTGAACTTCGTCACCCAGCGTGACCGGAAGGCGCACCCTTCCAATTACTTGCGCAGGCGCCCCCGAGAATCCTATTAGCACCGAACTTGAGGGGTACACCATTTCAGGCGCCAGCTGCATGCGCTCAAATGTACTTTTGAACAGAACATCCATTGAACTACCAGTGTCCAACAACATCCTTTTCACCTTACACACCGCGATCACACCTTGTATTTCTAGGGCTTCTACCGATGGGACTTGGCATGCCTCTTCCGATTCCTGATTGGAGTGTATTTGCACCACTGCCTTTGCCTCCAAGGACGCAGCCCTGAGGTGCCTACTTCTCTCCAGTTTCTCTCGAAGGTCAACCGTGCCAGTGATCGACTCCACCGTAAGCTTAAGACGGTCCGGTTTTTCCTCCTGGGTCACCTCAAATGGAGGGGGCGGCATCTCAGCGCCCAACCGCTTGTCCGCATTCACCGGCGCCTGCTTCTTCTCCCTTGCCATAAAGGTGAGGTGAGTTCTCTCCTTCGCTTTTTTTTTACGAACTCATTGAGCATCTCCCTGTCTGCCAAATTATGTAGCTCTGCTTTCAGTTGATAGCAATCGGCCGTGTGATGCCCTTTCTCCGTTGAAAATCACAATATCGATCAAGATTACGCTCGTTGGGCTGTCCTCGCATCCGTCCTGACCACCGCACATGGTACCCTCTTTCCTTCACATTTTGCAGGACATTCTTCAGTGTATCATTATATTCCATAAAATTCCCTATGCTTCTTTACGGTGGGCGTTGTGCCTCCGTCCTCCTCGACGGGGCGTTTCCCCCATCATGATTCGTGGCGCCTGTCGAACGTCGATCTCCTCTCCCCTTAGGCGCCTCTTTTCAACCCTCCTTGCTGCAGAGCTTCTTCCAACATGATTCACTTCTTGAACCCTATTATCCAAGTCTTCCGTTGAGACCACATCCCTCTTTGAGAGCGCCCGACATAGCTCATCACTTGACGTGAATGTTCGAGGCAACACCCCAGAACTGGGGGTTGCACATCATTGACCGCCATTCCTACTGAAAGCCAACGGTCATAGAAATCTCTAAGCACCTCTCAGTCTCTTTGCTTTATCTTAAACAAGGCGCTATAGTTAAGGTTCGACGTTTCCGGCTCGCAAACTTGGACAAGAACAATTTAACAAACTGTTCAGAGCAATCAATGCGTCCCTCATCAATTTAGTGGTACCAGTCTAGAACGACCACTGCGCAGGTGGAAGGGAACACCTTATAGAGTGTGGCATCTGAACTATTGTAAAGTTGCATTTTCGTGAACTAGTTGTTTAGATGATCCTCAGGTTTGGTGACTCCATCGTAGCTTGGCAAAGGTGGGATGGTTTTGGGCCGGGTTCGGGTTTAAACCCGCTACACTATTCATCGGGTTGGGTTGGGTTTGGGTTTAGGTAAACCCGCCCCATGGATACCCGCCCACACATATAATTACTTTCCCGGTGTATTTAATATTCTAAATAATATATCTTCTTTAAGCAACTAATATTATTTATGTTTGTGGAGACATGTATAATTTGTTCTTTCTAATTATTTAGAATGAAGTTGATATTATGGAGTGGAGAGTGAAGAAACTTATTTGACAAGGAAGAAGATTTCAATTAATCTTGTTGTTTATAGATGTTTATCTTTAATTTTGAACAATTTGTATTGATCATTTGCGGTTTGCTTGTATGTTCTAGATTGGTATTTTTTGTATGAATAATTTGTATGAGAAAATTGATGTTAAACTTTTATTTTGAAAGAAATTTGTTATTGTAATTTTTTTACCAAAAAAACCCACGGGTACCCATGAACCCACAGATACCCAGCGGGTTGGGTTGGGTTTGAGTTTTTCAAACCCAACGGGTTTTACCACAGGTTTTTTTGGCGGATAAATCCATGGGTTTGGGTTTGGGTTTGACAAAACCCGCCCCAACCTGACCCATTGCCTTCCCTAGTGCCAATGGCTATCGAACTCCGAAACGCTTGACCAGTCGCTTGGGCGCCTATCCATTGTGTCCATCCGGGTTGGTCATGATCAGATCGCCGGGAGGCCCCCATGCATCTAGGCGATCGTGAGGTGTTTGATATCCACTAGGTCCTACCACCTAATTTAGGGATGGCAAAAATATTTGTAATCGTGGATATCCGCCCGAATCCGGCCTAATCAGGTAGTGTAAAATCCGGACCCGAAGGACATTTAGTGGGTACAGGTAAAATCAGAACCCGAATACTGTGGGTAATGGGTGGGCATGGGTTTCTCACTATCCAACCCGAACCCGTCTGATTATACACATGCATATGTATTTTATCTAGAAATAATCATTATTTTCTCTAACATATTTTATATTTAGCATATAAATATAATATTTTCATGAAATTGTGTAGTTTTAATAATTTTCTTTCTTCTAGTGAATTATTGTCGTACTTTTTCTCTTACGTAATGTGAGAATACATGTGAATGTTAACATATTGATTGGAGTTATGAAGTGAAATTATTCCCCATGGATACCCGAAACCCGAAAGGATATGGGCATTGTTTTAACTACCTGTTCCACATGTGGGTATGAGTATGGGTAAAACCCGAATTACTATGGGTAGGGATATACATCCTTACATCTTCACCTCGACTCCCTTCCAACTCCCTCCTCAATGTTTCTATAGCTCTGTCTTGATCGGCAATAATCCGAAACAACTCCCTCTTAGACAAATAGTCGCCTTCTGAGGGTGGACACTCATAATTTTCCTCCTCCTCCGCTTCCATGCTTTGCTCCTGGTTTGTTAGGCGCTCATCTGCTCCTTGCCCCGAATTCTCCGTCCTTGGGCTGTCTCCAATTACTCCTTCCACATTCATTCCATCCATTATCTTGTTTTGCACCCCTTTCTGGCGCGCCAATCGTTTGAGCCGCGATACCTTGAACCCGTCAGCCAATGCAGTTAAAAGCGCGATTCTACCTAAAAGTGAAAAATGGGTAAAATCGTAAAACGTAGAATCAAAGCGTAAAAGCGTAAGTTTTTTACGCACCCTCTAAAATAGCTAAAATATGTTAAGTACAACATATAGTATGTAAAATGTGAGTGTAGAATTTAGATAAGTGAATAACTACATGAAATTCATAATTAAAATGTAATATCTAACACAAACTAATTTGTGTTGACTCAAAAGTAGAGAAAACTCATAACATCTTAATAATAAGCTCATAAACGTAGATCGTAACCCGTAAACGAGCTTGAGAATCCAAATTCTCATAAGCTGGTTTGAGTTTACATAATTACATTTGATCAATTACCCTTAAACTTCTATCGTAACCCAGGTAAGAGCCACAGGTGAAGATTAAGGGAGAAGACTGATAGAAGGTCAGCGATTGTTGATAATACCATTAGGTGTCTTTTCAACCTAATGTGAAGCCCCTATCTCGACACTAGTTGTAGAACGAGTGATGAATCGTGTTTTCCTTTTTTTTTTCTGATATGTCTCCAAAATTAAATCATTTTGGGCCAATTAGCACATTTTTACGAGATGATCAAAATCGCATAAAAACGCTTCAGAATCGCGATTTTACCGGTTTTAAGCGATTTTACCCATGTTTTAACCAATTTTTGTGACTAAGCGACTTTAGGTAGAAACTGAAACGTTTTGGTGGCCTGGATACGTAAAAACGTAAGTTTTTACGTTTTAATGCGCGATTTTGACTGCACTGCCGTCAGCTTAACCTCGATCTTCACCAAGCTCCCAGCCAAGGCGCCTCAACCCTGCAAAGTTGGGTGCACAGGGGGCCTAGGTGGCCCGTTAGAACTCCAAAGCTCAAGTCTGTCGAGTTTCTAGAGAGATAAGTGTTGCGAGAGTTTTTAGTGAGAGAATTGAACCTGTTTAAATGCCACCTACCGAATACTATTTATACTCGTCGGGGCTCCGACCAAACTCCTAGAATTCAGCCCTACATCAGCAGGGCATTAAATGCCTGGTACGGCCAAACGGCTAGGCGCCTGCATGTGGCACTTCCTTGGTCCTCATGTCGGGGTGCCTAGAGGGGACCACTCCACATAGGTGGAAGCCTCTTGGCCATCCTCTTCTGTACTAATTTGTCCTCGTGCCCTCTTTTGTCGCTATTCGCCTAGACCCACTAATTGTGTCCTTGTTCTCTAACTTGGACCATATTACTTGGGCTTTCAATGGCTTGGGCCAAATTGGATTTGTGACCTCTTAAGGGCTTATCTATATTGACCCAACAGTTTTGGTGATATTGGTGATACTTAAATCAATGCATTGTGATCAATGCATGCATTGTACTTTGCATTGTTTGGTTTTGATGATTGTTCTTTTACTTTTTATGGGAAATTTCACTTTTGCCCTTTCTTTTATTAGAAAATATGTATATAATTAGGGGTATAATTGGAACAAAAAAGGAACCTAACAATCTCCTCAAAACTATCTCAATGATCTCAAATTTTAGTAGAGATATTATTATCACTCATTTTGAGTGATAGTTTCCATCACATCAAGCTAACAATGCATGCATTGTTTGTGCAGAAAATTCAAAAAAAAAAAAAAAACAATGCATTGTAACTATCCCAACCAAACAATCACCAAAACTAACCCAACCCTAAATGAGTGGTTTAAGTTTGCGTTGGTGGACTTTATCTTGGGCTAGAATAAGAAGACCCTCAAATGGAAAATCATCCAGCCCAAATAATATGAATGGTGGCCTTCTTCGCTCCCTTAATATTCTTTTCCACTTCAACAACAAGACCCGAGGACGGCTCCTTGTCGCCGTCAATTCTACTACGTCTGTTGCCGTGCAGCAGTACCCGTGAATTCAGTCTATTCAATTCCCATATCAGTATATCACTATCCTTGGACAATGGAGGTCACAGATCCATGGCTGCTCCACCGGCGACCCAAGTGGGCCTAGAAGACTATCGCCCTTCCTTCGTAGCGTTGAGGCTGTCATCTTATTACATCAAAGGTTTGCCTTGCTTTCCCCATCTTTGAACTGCTTTCGCTATACCAATTATTGCCTCCTTAATCACCTAGGGTTCCTTCTTTGTTTCCTAGAGTTTGATAGAGATTGAGCATGATCTGTCCTAGTTCAACTGTGGTCATGCTCATCTATTCCTTGAGTAGTCTAGTCTATATGCTCTTCAATTTTGCCATGCTATAAGTTGTAAGCATAAGGTCACATTGCCGGATTGGTGGCCATGCTGGCCAAGCAACCAATGGAGGGTTGTGATCGTTTGGAGCTGGAAAGAGCTCGTTTAAGTGAGGAAAGGAGAGACAACCCGGCTCGTCTAAGCCAAGTAACCCACCAAATTGATTTTGGGCGGGCCTCCAATTAGAAAAAATCATAATTTTGACAGTTTTCTTTTTTAAATCGCCACTTCTTCCTTTTCTCTCGCTTACATTATTCATTTTTCCTCTCCTTTTCCTTTTTTTCTTTTCTCTCCCGAAGATGAATCCAACAAAGAAAGGCGACGACGAGGGCGGAGACGATGAAGGTGGGGCGAAGGAAGAGAGAGTTGACCAAAGGGGCGACAACTGTGGGTTGAAGCACAGAGAAGGTGAGGAAGGGGGCGACGACGACGAAAGTGCAAAGAAGGTGAAGAAGATCCATATCTCGTGTTTTGGTTTGTGGATTGAAGTTTATTTGTTAAGAATACGGATTAGGATTTCTTGGGTACAAATTTGGGGGTTTTTTGTACGATTTTGCATGTCACTGGATTTATGCGTTTTGTTTGTTTTTTGGGTAGATTGTTGCCATGAAAATGGATTAGTGAGCACATGGGTATAAATTTGTGGGTTTTTGGCATTGGGTTTCTTGGTTCTGTGTTACTGTTAAATACCGCTTCGTGAATGTTGAATACTATTTTGTCGATGTTGGATATCAGTTGTTTCGTAGAACTTCATTATTGGTTGTTTGATGTTGGACACCAGTTCGTGAATGTCAAATACTGGTCTGTCGATGTTGGATATCAGTTATGTTGACACCCATTTTTGTCCGGGTTAATTTCGTATTAAATAATTTTGTTCGAACCGGAAAGGCTTAAAGACTAGAAATTCAGCTGCCCCTTATTTTCCATTTATGTTACATAAGAGTTTCTAGCCCGAACTATCACAGAAAAACCTACAAAAATAGCCCACGTAATTCAGCCCAACTGGTCCAACCGTGTCTGCTTCTCCTCTGCTCCTCCATCCCCTACTCCATGTTCCATTTTTACCTGCAAATAGGGATGGCAATCAAACCCATGGCCGCGGGTATTCGACCGCCCCCGACCCAGTCAACGCGGGGAATCCCCGCTTTGACCGGGTATGGGGCGGGTATGGGTAAAACCCGCAAAAAGTTTGATGGGTATAGGGCGGGTATGGTTTTAGCCTCCCCCGCCCATACCCATCCCCATACCCGCCCCACCAAGATAATTTCTTCATATATAAAAAAAAATGTGCATCAAATTATAATCTATCAATGACGATGAGGATAACTTGAGAAAATAAATAGTACAATGCAATTGAGTGACCATCTTAATCAAAATCTAATGATTTCTCTCAATTCTCATTTCACTCTTTCACTTTCCCCCTTGTCAACAAGATTATGTTAGTTAATTATTATTT